CTTTTTTTTCTTTTTTTCATTGTTTCTATCTTACACCTATGTTATAAAAATTACTAACGTGCATCTTTAATTGAGTTCCAGCCCGTCCGGTAGATGGTGACCAGCAGTGGAATCCGGAGCACTCATTTCGTCCTATTTGGGGCTCGTTATCCGGACGTACCTTCATTCCACAGTCAGTGATAGTGTTCTCACTGAGGCTCAAACCTAGTGTCCATAGTTTCAAACGCCAAAGTGTTATCCACTAGACCGCTTTGGCCAGGTGATGATGAATCCCAAATAGGACGAAATGCGCATCCTCGAATCCACTGTTAGTCACCATTTCGCCAATTTACTTCAAGTTAAATAATCGAACATCACTGAAGCATCTGTAAAAGCAACCAACCTATTAACCTGAGGCGGAACACTTCGGTCCACATAATCAACAGAGAGTCTAAATTGAATTAAATAACTACACATGAACACTTCAAGAAGAAGTTAAACGGAAAATACTGTGGAAGACTGAATCTTCTTTCATATAGAATGACGCTATGTCACTCTATGAGGAGAGCTGTCTGCAAGACAAAATTGTAGACAACAATTTACGTCAATGTTTACGTCCCGAATCAGGGTCATGAGAAAAAACAGTTAGAAGGCATATCCTTGAGGAACTCACCAACCAATCGTAGCCGACTTAACGTGTGAAAATATGGCTTAAGTTTCTGAGAAACGGCCACAAGCAGTACAGAATAGCCTTCAGCAAGAAAATAACCAGTCAAAAGACGTTGCTTCTCCACTGACAATAATGAACATAAAAATCTATAAACATCTGTTGATTTTCTCAATAAACGATCTGTTGCCTGTCCCTTGCCTTCCGTCGTTATAATACTTCTATATATTGTCAATAAATACTTTTATTCAGAGTTTCTATAGGCGGTTGAGATATTGTGTTTAAAAAGAATTTTCAGAATAAAGTGGACATTAATACTACTACTATTATTACTACTATTGTTATCATGGTTTAAACCACAACAAAAGTTACTATAGCAACGGATAATAAGCGCATTATTCTCCTATGATATTATCCTTCTTTTTTAAGAGTATAAATCAACATTTAACAACTAAAAGTTGTTAGAAATTTTACTCAACACAGAAATAAAAAAAAATATTATCTAAGCTTTCACTAGCGACTTGTCCTATTCAGGTGGGTAGTTAGCTGGGGTTCTAGTGAGAAGTCGTGACCAGTAGGGTACAGCAGGTCGGGTGTGAGGACAAATACTCGCCGAAGACACTGTCTAACGGTCGCGCTATGTCATGAATTGGCAGAAGTTAGGATTCATGGGCCATTGGATCGGGTCCCAGTGGCCTAATGGTATACAAGCTCGCCTTGTAACCAGAAAGTCCTGGGTTCGAATCCCGGTGGGTTCGTACTGATGGAGAGTCCCAAACTAGGCTGACAAAACAGCTGTCCAGTACTCCCTGGTTTTTGAATGATTCTTTAACTAATGTCAGCTCATGATGAAATCCTGTAACCAATCAAATCCCTGCAAACCAACAATTGAATATTTATTATCTATTTTTGAGACTATCCGAATCAACCTTTGGATTGGTAGACTTTTATTAACTGACTGAGTTTCAGCATGGTTCGCTGTACAGAGGTGCAGCCATACAAGCTGTCCCACTCCATATATCACCCGAAGGTAGACAGAAGAAGGAGTTAAAGAGAGGAGTAGAAAGAGATTCAAAACATAAATAAAATACGATGGTGTATATAAATTGTGCAATTAGTCATAGTAGTAGTAATGATAATATTAATAATAGTAATAATAATGGTCTTATCAGTAAAAAGGATGAAAAAATGAGGCATTATTCATTATTCGTGTAATCACAGATTGCCTCATTTTTTCATCCTTATTATTGATACGACCATTATTATTATTATTATTATAAATATAATAAGCGAAAACGTGCAGGAGAAAGAGTAACTACATGGAGAAACATGAAGACTTAATGGAATTGACATACTAGAAAGAGTGAAAGTATCTGAACAACAGCGAACGGTTTTGAGCTAAGTCATTGGTTCTTAGCGACTTTAACAAGGCGGTCTACACTTCCCTATGGAGCTGGTTAAAACCAAATGTTCAAAACTTCATGGAATGATGCAAACTTTTGATTTGATCACCCCTAACTCTTTTGAAACCTAATCCTGTTCAGTGTCGGTTAACATTGCTCGACGCAAAGTGCGGTGGCGTGTCATGCGTAACACATGTCCTAGTCAGATTCATCGATGTAGCTTCACAAAACCATCCATTGACCTACCCTCCCTTCCTAACACTCTACACCTAACATCAATATTTCTCATCATGTTGCATAGAAAGCAGACACCTATGATCAAAGATAGGCGACTTTTTTCCATCCTCTACTTTCAATGGCCATGTCTCACGGCCATAAGGGAGGACGGAGCGAACTGCTGAGCAGTATACATGTCATTTGTTCTACGGCTGGATATCATTTCTACACCAAAGATGACTTTGGTTGTTGAGTGTCAAACGTGTGATCAAGACACTCAACCACTTCACTCTCTATCTTTAAACTAGGAGCCAGTGTAGACTTTTATGATGATGCATTGGCTGATGATTGAAGAGATTCAAACCAAAGACCTTAATTACCAGTCCAGAATTCTACAAGGTGAGCCTAACTAGCTTATCATTTGACTGTACCACTATGAGAATATTCAAATATCATACAGATGAATTATACGTTACTGACCGTCTATCTTTATGGTAGTTATATCACAGGTATAAGCCAAATGTTTTTTTAAGAAGATAACATTATCCTCAAGGACCATTTCTCTTACCTTCCAGTGTCAATGCTTAAAATTTTACTATTCTGTCTTCTCTTATCCTACTTCTGTGTTTATTTTAAGTTGTCCTCATCTTCTATAGATAATTGCTTTCTGAAAATATACTTCCAGCAGACAAATTCGTCACTTCGATTACTGCTTTCAAGTTAGACTACAAGACTGATACAAGTTTAAGAACCATTGGAAACCAGCGAGTAGTGGACAGTTTTATCCTCCTAGTTTAAGACTACTCAGCACTATAGCCTCCTGACCTCAACAAGGGTCGAGTCCAAGATCTTTATATTGTGATGCGAGCCCATCGACTGTCTAGCCAATCAAACAGAATCCAGTGGCTTATGGATCCTAACTTCTACCTATTCAAGATATATAGCAAATCATGATCACGACGCTGCTGAAGTTTCCAAAACTAAAACGAAATAACTGCCCCGTTCTCCCTAAATTCCGCTGGTTTTCTAAGTGATATCAGTTCGTGATCTTAATTCTAATCAATCAAACCTTTGCAAACCAACAATCGAAAATTATTTTCCACCATCTTCTCTTCTGTACTACTGAACATGAAATAAGTTGGATTATTCTTATTCGTGAAACTACTGAATGCAGTTCATTGGGTAGTTGAACATAATTATGCATATATACATATATATATATATACTGATTGTTCAGGGTTAGAATCTGACAGCAATGCACGTGTTGCCATCCAACTCCGGGGGAATGCACCTCTGAATAAACCTCATCTGGCCAGTAGTAGGTCAGGAAAGAGGTAAATTTGCGTGTGAGATCCTCACCCGTTAAAAAAGCAACAAAACATTATGCTACTGAAACTTCAAGACTTGAAAGGCGAAGGAATCAAACAAAGAATTACGAAATGAGTAATAACGTCCGGAGTTAAACTATGACAACAGTAACCAAGATCCTTCGAAATAACCTTGAACAATCAATCATACTAAAGGAATGAAAAATATTGTGCAATAAGACAATAAGTAAACCTGCACTGAAACGTAAAATTTCAATCATATTGCTTAAATTTTTTCAAAACACAAGTGGTCTTGGAGGAAAATTTGCTGAATATAATTCAGAGATATCTACACTGCGAATTAATGTTTGGTGGTTAGATGCAATCAAGGATGAAACCCTTGACCTAGGTTTCTTACCTATTGATACTCTTCAGCAAGGCATATTCGATGTAACTTGATGCAACTCAACGCCATGCTGATAAGGATCAAGGTTTAGAGCTTCCTGCCGTTTGCTTTCAACTACACATCGCCCATTAGAAACATTATATTGCTTACTCCAGTGTATACTATATATGGGACTTTTGGAAGCAAAGGCTACTCTAATCAATAAAAATTTGACTGAATCACAACCAATCTTATTTTGGACGATTCTGATCTCTGCTATCTTGAATTGTTATTTTCACTGGTAGCAACGTGACTACAAAACAGTGCAATGTATTATGAAGTTTGAAAAAATCTAGGATCTTCAAAGTAGAACAGTAGTCTATGAATTATTATCATGTGACACAATGATTTGAAGCATAAACAAATTAATGCCTCATAAAATTTTCCTTCATTTTCGAGAAATGTGCAACTGCTAGTTTGAAAGTCAATCTTTACTGTGCATGAGTACATTTCATAATTCAACAATATAACTGTGAATGGCTGATGAACAATAAGAATGAGATAAAATATGATGTATTGTGTTGGATAGATATTCAGGTAGATAACCCAGTGATTCATCGAGGAGGCCACCATTTCCTGAGGAAATAAATTTCTATACTACCAACTGTATCAAAGTAATAAGATTACAGAGCTTTAGGCTAATTTCATTTATCTGAATTACTATTACTATTATCATTATGATTAATACGTCGGTTGGTTCAATGATAGAATGCTCATCAACCATACAGGTGGTTCAAGTTCGACTCATGACCAATCCACTAATAAATCTTGGCTAATTTAGTAGATAACATTAAGCCTAATAAAAAACAGGGAAGATCTAACGTGACGTCAGCAATCTCTCTCTCTCTCTCCATGTTAAAGCCACACCTCCGCGACTGAAAATTTAAAAGCTTGAAGTGAACAGTGATAAGATCAAATGAGAAATCATATAAATAGCACACTTATAGAACAACAAACAACAAAAAAAACATCAATCAACTCACCCAAAATGGTAATGATTTTGTAAACATTAGATATCGTCTACTTTCTACAACTCTTGTCATTGTATGCGTTAAACTATGTCCATGATGATTTAAATGACCTCGATTACGATGATTCCCACCATGACGATGATGATGATGGTGGTGATGATGATGATTATGATTGTGGTGATGGTGATGATGATTGTGATGGCCATGATGATGACGATGATGATGCTGTTGATGATGAGCATCACCACTGACTATTATTCCAGGCTGATTCTGTATTATACCTTTAGATATTTCATTTGGTAGAGGAATTATAACACTAGAAGTTGATGTAGAACTTGATACACCTCCAGTACTGATATTCTGAGACATCACTTTCCCTCGATGTTGATTCGCTTCATTAGGAATATTTTCTTCAGATCTTGAAAAATGCTCTAAAAGAAATCCTCTTGGTAATGATGGTGGTGGGGGTGGAGAGATTGTTAAACTTTTACGATCTGCTGCTGCTCTTCCACTAAGACTTCCAGCTATTTTAATGATTAAATAAAAACAAAAAACAATGCTCAAGTATTAGTTTTGTATGCATTTTCTTTGATTGTATGGACGATTTCATCATGAACTGACATCAGTCAGAGAACCACTGCAAAAAACCTGGGAGTACTGGACAGCTGTTTCGCCCTAGCTTGGAACTCTTCAAGAACCACTGGATCGGATCCCAGTGGCTCAATCGTCTACGAGCTCGCCTTGTAACTAGAAGGTACTGAGTTCTAACCCCATGGTGTGGGTTCGTACCGATGAAGAGGCCCAAGCCAGGACGAAACAGCTGTCCAGTACTCCCAGGTTTTTTGCAGTGGTTCTCTAACTGATGTCAGCTCATGATGAAGTCCTCCATACAAAAAACAATACGTTAATAAAGATTAGGAATCTTGTAGAGAGTATTTATAAACATCTATTATTCACTGGCGTGCGTCGATAGAACGCTCGCCAACACAGACTTGGTATGGAATTGACTCCCCAGCCGACGTATCCCTAAACCTCGCTTAGCCAATAGTAAGCCAGGTAAAGAGGGTAGATTGGCAGTGAAGCTAGCAACCCATTGCTACCGAAACTTCAAAGCTCTAGCTTGAAGTCCCATGTACCATTCAGAAAGTAAAGGAATAAAATTTTAAAAAAAAACAATTCAATGGTACTGAGATTTCTTATAGATTTTAAAAGTTCCCTTTGGTATATTTATATTTATATATTTGCCAAGTGTTCGATTGCATTAATCTGATAGATTACAGGTTTGATAATGAGCTGAAATCGGTTAAAGAACCACTGAAGAACGACATAGTACTGGACAGCTGTTGGAACCAAGGACCTTCCTAACTTGGTAGACCCCGCTGGTTATGACTTCTCACTGGAAGCCCAGGTAACTTCTTGTATAGAATCAGTCGCTAGTGAGCACCTAATTGATTATCAAGTGTTAGTTGTAAACCAGTTGTAATGAAACTACGAAATGAAGATATCATCTCGAGAAATTTGTCTTCTAACTGCCTTATTCAAATTTACAAAAGCAACTAATTGTTTTAATTCTCTTCATCACATTTTAAAACTATAGTTATGTATGATTGTGTGTTAGATACATGCATTATGATATCTATGCTTTTTCTCTAAGCTATTGTTTTTTATTAAATCAGAACTTTTCTCTAATTGAATTTGTACTGGTGTGAGGTTGGTTATCTAATCTGTGGTTACATTTTCAAGCATGTTTAAAAAGACGCATAAATCTTAAAATTTAGGAAAACACATTAAGTCCTCTAACATTACCATAATATGGTGTATGTTTGAATCCTCGTGGATGAACAATTTTCTTTAAAAACCTAAGTACATTTTATTATCTGCTTATTGAGTAACCATCATGGAGAAACTATAGTCAAGAGGGTGAGGGTTTTAACTGACATTTTCAATCAAACTGACCACTAGGTAGTACCTACTGTCATACGTATGGTCTGTTACAGTCCTGCAAGAGGTCAACAGATAGTTGGAATCGCTCAATCATAACGTCTTGACTGGAGAACTGATTAGCATGGGTTTGATTTTTTGCGTTCCTCTCACGTCTCCCATGTATCTCTCGACAACGCTGTATTATTTACTTTCTCTGACATCAAATCCCATCTCCCTGTTATTTGTTTTATGAATTACTCTTTATATACTACTCATAACTCTTATCAGTAGCACACGCCACACATACATATTACGTCTTATTTCGATCGATACATACATCCCTGTTTGTTTCAAAATACAATTACGTGATAAATTTGATTTCTTTAACAATTGTATACACAATTTTCTGTATATGAAAATTTCTAATGATAGTTGAGTTCATCTTTCAATATATATTTCTTTTCCTCACCCTATTGAGCTTAGTCATTACTCTTCACTTCTTGTGTTCATTAGATTGGGGATTTTCAACTTTAATGTTAAGTCATTTCTTCTGCATACTTCAGAGACTTGGTGCAATTGTCACGAAAAGCATTTTCAACAGTCTGCTGAAACATTTTATCAACCAACATATGACTTCAATGGTCCATAACTCAAGATTAGATGTCCAGGAAGGGATAAAAACAAGGATCTCTGGAAGCCATGAACTGAGCCATGAAGCTATTGCCTAACAAATATCCACAAGAAAATGAAGATGAACTAAACACACACTGAGAAGACTGTTGGATACATCACACCTCAGGTAGAATATCAAATAGAACCCGAATGGGAAACGATGAGTTGGATGCGTGTGTGTATGGGTGTTGATGACAAGGAGGCGATCGTGTGAGGAAGAGATGAGAGCAATTGTGGAGTCAGTTATTAGGGGCTGCAGAGAACATAATGAAATGAAGACGTGGTTCTGAAGCTTTATATTCGACTAAAAACCCAAGTGAGTATGAAACATAAAACATACTGTGCAAAAAGGCAGTGTTATGTGTCTTCTTCATGACCTTAGCTAATTCTTCTGTAATATTATGAAAGACTACATATTCAAATCAATCGGGAAAAAAGCTTTAAGAGAAGTTTGAAGGTAGATATCGTGAAAACCTACAAATTTAAAGAATTACTGAAAACGTGAAGACAGTGGACAGCTATTTCGGTCTATTTTGCGACACGACATACGATGCTCACCTGGGATAGAATCAACAACCCTTCAGATTGTGCGGTCAACTTATTCGATCTAATCAATGTCAGTATTTGAAACGAAATTTACCTTCATCTTAACATTAAAATTTCTAGAAAATCATGAAAATGCTTTTAATACTTTTAATACAAGTAACATAATAATCAATAATGTATAATTTGAAGCAGTTTAGTTCCACCCAAACATTTGTCATAATGTTTCCTGAACATATGTGAATACACTGATAACATCTTAAGTGTAATGGATGTTGCACGCATACCTTACCGTCTAAACCTCAGTAATTTTCGTAACCAGTGAGATTAAGATGAGGCATTTTCAGCGTAAACATTATTTGTTGTACCCAAAAATTCCATTTACACACACACACACAAACTCAAAGACTTATAGGTAAAAACCAGCAAACTAGTTGGAGAAGCAGCCAGAGGAGACGGAACTCCAGGTCAACATAGAGAAGACGGAAGTGATGAAGATACCATGCAACAACAGCAACAGCAACCAGTACCAATCACCATCAATTCGAGAGATTTGAAAGAGGATACTTCCTTCACTTATCTGGTTAGGAAACAATTTTTCAACTACAGACGGATGGCACGGATGAAGTTGTCAAAGCGTGCGTCAGTGGCACAGTGGTTAGGATTCTCGCCGACCATGAACATGGTCCGAGGTTCGATCCCCTGCCGACACACACCTGATATCTATGGTCGGCCTGCCAAATTTGGGCTAGCTATATCCATGCTGAAAATTCCATACTTGTACCAAAAATACAGTATGGAATCAAGCTGTAATCAAAAATCTAAAAAAAATATATAAAGAAATAAGCTAGCCAGAATCGGAAAGGCGTGGTACTCCTTCATCGACTTGAGGCCAGTTTGGAAACCTTTTGCACTCAGCAGCATAAACAACAAGATACGGATTTTTAACGCAAATGTTAAGTCAGCCAGATGTTCTTTATAGGTTAGACACTTGGGCACTGCTTGTCACGAAAAGTATTTCCAACAAGTTACAGACATTTATCAGCTGCTCTCTCTGGCTCCATACTGAGGATCAAATGGCCAGCCAGCTAGTCAGAAAGAATTAGCAACAAGAGACTCTGGTTGGGAACAAACCAACCAAGAATCTATCGTTCAACAAATATGAAGTAGAAAATGGAGGTGGATTGGGTATACGTTAAGGAGGCTATCAAATGACATCGCGCGCAATGCAGGCCATAGCACGAGTGGAATCCAAATGGGAAGCAACGAGTGGGTCGACGGTGCGAAGGTGACATGGAGGAAACTGAGTGGGGAGGAGGAGATGAAAGATTATGGGTAGTCGTGTTTTCAGCTGAAGTGGACGGTAAATAATAGATCAGAGTGAAGATGTGTTGTTGAAGCTTTATGTTTCACTCGGAACCCAGAAGAATATTAGTAATAGTGGGTGAGAGCAGGCCGTGAGAAAATATGAGCAAGGCTGATTCAACACCAATCAGCAAAGTGAACGTGGCAAAATGATTCGCAGATAGAGAACTCTATATAATAGTACGACTCTAGTTAAGCCAACCTAACATCTAGTTAGAATACAGCTATTCTGCATCTAGTGAAACCTATCCTTGAGATTACTATTGTCATTAATATTATTATTTTTTAGACCATGAGTTAGACTTCATCACAAACCAGTATCAGTAAGAGATAGAAATGAAGACCAGGGAGTAATGACCATCTGTTGTGTAAGCGTTTTGGAGTCTTCAGTTTGTGTGCACCCACGACTCCACCAGAAAATGAATCCAAGACCAAGTTCATTGACCACCCAACCCCTTGGGCAGAAATTTAGTGGTCCGTGAATTATAAATTTGTCGATTCATGATATGGTGCTATACTTAACCAATCGTTTCAATTTGTATCCACTTCACTTTGACACGATGGACCTCACTGGTCACGAATTCTCAGTATACAGTTGACAGGATATCCATCTAGTAGCCATCAATAAGCTGGAGGTTGATATTTTTACATCATAGTGGTTTTGTGAGGATTACGATTAATTTTCACTTATAAGATTTTCATCACAAACTAACATCAGTTAGACACACCGTCGAAAGTCACAGAACACTGGATAGTCGAGCTTTGTGAACTGAAGGTCCCAGGTTCGATCTCTAATGGTGGGGTCGTTGAAGACTCCCAAACTACGATGAAACACTTGTCTAATACTTTCACATGCTTCTGAATAG